GTGTGTGTGTGTGTGTGTGTGTGTGTGTGTGTGTGTGTGTGTGTGTGTTGGTAGTTCTAGTTATCCTTTAAACTACATGTCTTAGTTTCTTCCAAGAGGCTTGTGGGGTCTCAGCTTCAGTACCTACAAAACGAGCTGCAGGTTCATTGTGTGTCATACAGGCTGCAGGCTGGACAGCGTCTCTCCAACCCAGCATGCTCGCTCTCTCCTGTTAACGTTGCTCTGCCAGACTGGCTTCCTTCCTGGAGCAAGGGGCACTCACCAAGACCTGCTTCCCAGAGGCTGGCTCGGTTTTGGATTTCCTGGGCTCCTTGGGCTTCACACTGGGTTCCTGGTCTTCTCCAGCCGAGGAGCCCCTCCGTGCTCTCACCTGCGCCCACTTCTTTGCCTGCTTCTTCCTGAGAAGTTTCCCTCTAAGGAAATGTGTTTCTGGTCAGTTTCAACCTCCCCATGCGGCTCTGGATTTGATTGGCATGCAAGTCTGGAGTCTCAACAGTACTGGAGGCTTCTGTGTTATCTAGGGAAAGCCACCAAAGTTTTCTGCAAGTTGGTTCTACACCCTGCGTAATGGGGATTCCCTGCCTAGCCGGCCAGAGGTTCAGGTGGGTCAGCTGTGAAGGGTCCTTGCAGTCTGTAGATTGCTATTTATTTAAGTTAATGTGTTGTAGAGGAGTTTTCAAAAGCTTACTTATCTTCATTTCAAGTGGGCAGCGTTTTGCCTGCATGTGTGTCTGTGCACACATCCATGGCCTCAGAGGCCGGAAGAGGGTGGCAGATCCCCTGGAACTGGAGTTAGAGATGGTTGTGAGCCAGCCCGTGGGTACCGGGAACTAAACCTAGGTCTTCCGCAAGAGCAGCCAGTGCTCTCAACTACTGAGCCAACTCTGCAATTTCTTGTTTGTTGAGACAGAGCCTTGAACTCACCACATTAAGGATGACCCTGAACTTCTGATCTCCCTGTCTCCACTTGCTGAGTGCTGGGATTATGGGCATGCACCATTACACTCAGTTTATGCAGTGCTGGGGGTTAAACCCAGGGCTCCACGTGTGCTAAGCTCTGCCACCTGAGCAATGTCCCCGACCTGTGTTTGCCTTTGAATCCAGCCCCTCTCCATACTGTGCTGCTCTTCTCCCCCCCCACACACACACACAGCTGGCCACTCAGTCCCCATGACTACCCTTCTTACTGACCCCTTACTTCTGAGAGGGGTCAGCCTGGGGATTTATGAGGAGGAGGTGCTTGCTCTGGATCTCGCCGTGTGATACGGCAAGAAAGCCCTTGCTGGATCTAGATGCCAGCGCCATGCTCTGGCACTTCCTCAGCCGCTAGAACCCTGAGATAAGTAAACCTTTGTGCTTCATAAATTCGCTCATCTCAACTGCTCTGTTATGGTAGCATCAAATGAACTAAGACATACTCACATGAAGGGGAGGAGACAGAGGAAAAGGAGTGTGGTTGCCATGGCTGCATAGAAAACGCCCTGGAGCAGCGCTTTCAGGAAGATTTCGGGAGCCAAAGGGCCTTTTCCTAGAAGAGAAGGCGTTTCAGTACGGCTTTTTTTTATGAGTAAAATTTATCTATCTATCTATCTATCTATCTATCTATCTATCTATCTATCTATCTATTTATTTTTCTTTCTTTCTTCTTGTTTTGTTTTTGTTTTTTTGAGACGGGGTTTCTCTGTGTAGCCCTGGCTGTCCTGGACTCACTTTTGTAGACCAGGCTAGACTCGAACTCACAGAGATCTGTAAAAAAATTTTTTTAATTTCATTTGTTTATTTGTTTGTATGTGTTTGGGGTTTTGCGTGAGCCACAGTGTGTATGTGATGGTAGGAGGACAAGTTTCAGTAGATACGGCAGCTGAGGACTGGGCTCAGGCTGTCAGCAAGCACCTTCCTCTGCTGAGCCATCTCGCACGCCCTCAGGAAGCCTTTCTTATGACCTCCAGGCTGTGCTCCCTGTTCACTGCCCTCCTCCAGTCTCCACATCCGCACCCTCACTTGACATCAGTAGGATGCTCAAACCATAGGTTCCATGTTGGTTCTTCCCCTCACAGAGAAGAATTGTGCCCGTTTCTGGGTTCTTGGAGAGGATGAGGGTGCTGTTGTCCCAGGAACCAAGTGTGGTGGAGGTCACCCGGAGGCGGCCAAACACAGGAGCTCCGTCCATCCACCACTGCACGGACGGTGTGGGGATGCCATGAAAGGAACAACTGCACTGCAGTGTCTTCTCCACAGCACAGAAGGAGTCGAGCAGCCTGGGAGGCTCTGGGGAGAGCGAGGGTCAGGTGTCAGAAAGATGGCCCTCCCCATGCTACATAACGCTTTATCACGGAGACACACCCCAAGCCCCTCAACTGCGGGATTGTAGGCAGGTGCTCTACCACTGAGCCACACTGCCAGCCCCTTAGTGGGGGATTTTAGGCACAGAGATGATGTCTAATCCACAGTGGTTGTTTGTCCTCTTCAGCCTTCTCTCTCTTTCTCCGCAGTCCCCCCTTGCAGCTTCCCCAGATAGCCCCAGAAGTGCTTCTTGTCCCACTTACCCAGCTGCGCATGTGGCAGGTCCATATTCAACGGCAAGAATTCCCAGGCACACCGTGCTCTTCACCACGGGGAGTGAGATAGTGGCTACTGAAAGAAGAAGTGGAGCTGGGTGAGCAGAGAAGTCTTGGCCGAGAGGTTCTTGAGACCCTGTGGTCATCCCAAATTCAGGATGATATGAGATGCAAGAATTGCATGAGACAAGAGCTCAGGGGTATCTAGAGGTAGGGCCCTCCACTACGGTCCCCTGTGAAGCTGGGACTCTTTAGGAAGAGGGGCTCAACGACCAGGTGTTTTGAGTTCTCAAACACTAATGGGGATGCGTGGAAGGATGACATACCGAGGAGGGATGGGATCAAGAGGTGTGTGTGTTTGGAATTCTTCCACTGGGGCCATTTGAGAAATGACCAGGTCGGGGATGACTGCAGGCCAGGTGGTCAGGGCAGAAGCGTCTGTTGCTATTGAGAAAGGATGGTATACTTGAGTTGAAATGCCAGGGATGGGGACAGGATTCAGAGGGGTGGGTAGAATTTAGACATTTTGGTGCTTCAGAAATGACTCTGGATAAATCAATCAGTAAATTCATAGCCAGATGTAGTTAGGCTTACACCTGTAATCCTATCACTTGGAAGGCTGAGACAGAAAGATTGCTGTAACTGGCTGTGTAGACCAGGCCAGTCTCTGGCTCCTGAGTACTGGGACTATAGGACAAACAACCAAAGAATGGCTGCTTCTACTCTTCACAGAAAAACGACGCTCCCGGTCACACAAGCATGAGCCTCATTCTTGTCCTATCAACTTCTTTCTTTCTTTCTTCCTTTTCTTTTTTTCCAACTTAAAACCTCATTCTGGATGTTGGAATGAGCCCCATTTATATCCTTGGCCCAAGCTTTGCTAGTAAATCACCAAATAACTGTGGTCAAATATCATCCCTTCTCCAATCTTGTTTTCATATTTATGCCACATGGGTGGCATTCACTGTTGGAGATGTGGTGATCAGTCTAGCCCTATAATTCTGATTTCTCCTTGCTCTTCTCTGCCAGGCTTTAGGGAATATAGGTGGGATGGCTCTTCATGCTCCCCTTCTGGTTTCTCCTTTGGTTACCACTTCTCTTCATTTTACTTCATGTCTTGTTCTCAGGACTCCACGAAATTATTTTCCCTCAGCACTTTCATCTGTCTGTCTCCTTATCTCCCTCTTGCTAGCCAAGTTGCCTGACAACTGTTAGATTTTGTTTTACACAGTCTTAGGTACCACCGGCTGGCCTTTCTGTGTAGCCTGAAATCCTGATTGCCCTGGTTCCACCTTGCTTAGATGTTGTTTCACACAGTCTTAGGTAGCCCAGGCTGGCCTTTCTGTGTAGCCGAGGATGACCCTGAAATCCTGATTGTCCTGGTCACACCTCCCAAGAGCTAGGATTACAGGTGTGTAACTGGGATTAATTTAGCAAGAGACTGGTGGCCGCCTAATTAATGGATTAGCCTGGCAGGTTATGATAGAGATGGGTTAACTGATTTACAAGGGAGCTGGTGCCTGAATCACACGGGCACTAAAGTGATCATTAACTCTAGCTTCTTCCCAGGCTAATTTGGTGACACGCTGAAGGTGACTGAGGGGACACAGGACAAAAGCGTGAGTGAGTTAGAGAGACAGGGCAAATAAGTGCCTGAGAGGTGACAGGCTGACCAGGTGACTGGGGGGAGCAGGACAGACAGCTGGCTGAGAGGTGAAATGCAGAGCGGGTACTGAGGAGTGACAGACTGACTAGCATAGAGACAGTCACCCGGTGAACTGACCGCTGTGCCGATGCTTGGCCCCATCCAGTATCAGCCTTGGACGAACCAAGGAGCTCGCGGTACCCCGGTGCGAGGTTGCAGAGCGGACTAACCGCCCTGCAGCTGCCTCGCGAGAGGCCCAAGGATGTGCTGGCAGAGGCCTGCTTGACTAAGGTTGGAACTCCATGTCTCCGGAAGCCCATCGTGGACAAAGTCAACGCACAAGAATTCCGTAGACCCTCCCGCACGCCTAAGCAGCCCGTCATCTTCTATCTGCCAGGCTCTAGCCACGAGAGCGCCGCGTGGCTGCAAGTGCCTGTAGCAGCCACAAGAGGGCGTCAGACTTGCTGGAGCCAATCGTGGGTGGGTGCCAGAAACCAACTTGGATCCTCTATTGGCTAAGTGCTCTTAACCCGTGAGCCAGGTAGGAAGTTAAGCAGAGACTTCCTACCTTTAAAATTTAGTGTAAAAAAAGCAAGTAAGTTTTAAATAATTATAGAATTAGGCATTATTAAGCAGCAGTAAGATGTAAGAAAAGAAGGTAAAATCCCAATTTAAAATCCTGCTATTCTTCCTAGTCTGTGTAAGCAGCATTCTGCAGTTTGAATTTTCTGTTTAAACCAAATTTAAGAGACGCATGTACGGAGGGGCTGGAGAGACAGCTTAGTGGCTAAGAGCGCTGGCTGCTCTCCCAGAGGACCCAAAGTTGGTTCTCAGCACCCACGTGGCAAGTCAGAACTGTCTGTAAGCCCAGTCCCAGAGTATCTGACACCCTATTCTGACCTCTGTAGGGGCACAGACATAGATGCAGGCACTGATACACATAAAAAAAATAATAAATCTTTAGAAACACAAATGGATAATAAATGAATAGGAGCACAATGAAGAAAACCAGGCAGAGGAGCTGGGCATGATGACTCAAGCTTGTAACTGAGGCAGGAAGATTGTCATGAGTTCCAGATTGGCCTTGGCTCCAGAGTAAGACTTTATCTCAAAAAAATAAGTAAGCAAGTAAATAAATAATAAAAAAAATTAAAAAACTAAAACAAAGCACCCCCAAATGGTAAGGAAAACCATTTGTGTGGAAGTCAGGTCTTTGCTTAACATCCCACAGTACACAGGACACACACACGTACACACACACACACCCATACTCACATACATACATACACACACATACAGGAATACGTACACAGACACACACACACATCACACACACATACGCCGTCCAGCTTATGTCAAGCACTGATATTTATGAACCTTCCCCGGTTGGCCTGTAGGACAGTGCAGGAGCAGGACTGGATAGCTGGTCAGCGGAAGTGATACTTGATGCACTTAGGGTTGATCCTTGATGCACTTAGGTTGCATCGTCGGGGTGAGAGGTCTGCTTTCATGCTTCTGCAGGTAGATTCACATGCTTTGCTGAGGAGGCTTACTTTTCTCCAGTGTGTATTTTTTACTTCCTTGTCAAAAATGGATGCCTGGGGGCTAGAGAGACGGCGCAGCAGTTAAAAAAAACACCAACTGTTCTTATAGAGGACCGGAGTTCAAATCTCAGCACCCACATTGTGGCTTACTATCATCTGTAACTCCACTTCCAGGGGACATGAAGATGCCTTCCAGCCCCTGCAAATATGTTGCTCTTATGTGCACAAACATACATTCAGGCAAAAAAACAAGAGACATAAAATTAAATTGTAAATTTTAAATAAAAAGTTGGTGGCTGTGTGGGTTTCTTTCTATCTGGACCCTGCAAGAAGGCACATCTCCCACAGGATTCTTATTCCTCAGGATTAATGACTTTGACTATGGGGGGAATTCTGTATCAGTGTGAATTTTTTGGATTTAAAAATACCATGTATGTGTATGTTTGTGTGTGTGTGAAAAATGGACTTTCCATTTTGATTGGGCTATACTTAGTCTGTAGATTGGATTTGGTAGGATGTCCACCCTCACAAGACTAATTATTATGAAACTGTTGTAGGTGGTATTAATATTTACTATTGGTTTATCTTCTAGTAATGCTGCTGTTAATCCTCAGCAGCTGTATAACCAAATCACCACACAGAGACTGGGTTTTTAGTTAACCTAGAACACAATGCTGGGCAATATTTACTCCCTCCTAAACCTCCAAGCCCTCAGTTTCCTAACATTTAGATTTCCCACATTATACTTGCTTTTTATGAAATCTTAGGTCTGGTTCATGCTCCACGTCCTCCAGCTCTGCTCTCCTAGCTCTCCTCTTGCCCCTTCTCCTCCCACTCATCTCCTGCCTTCTGGCTCCTCACCTCTTTCCTGTCCTCTGGCTCCTCCCTGCTCAACATTGTGTCTAGTTGCTTTATTTTGTCCTGTTTACACAAGAGTTGAGACAAGATGCTTAGAATGAGTATCACAATGCAATATCCAGATTGAAACCAGAGAGTTGGGGGGGGGGGTGAGAAATCAGCATTTGAATGAACAAGGGTAAGGTGTATACATTAAAAAAAAAAACACATTATACCAACATGAAACAATGAACATGGAAGGTCTTTCTGTCCTCTGGTGTCTTCCCATATTTCTTTAGTGTTTTAAAGTTTTTATATACACATATTTTATCCCTTAATTAAGCTTATTCCAAGTACTTTTTAGGCTACTGTGAATGCCATTGCTTCCCTGATTTCTCTTTCAATGCACTTGTCGTTGGTATATAGAGGCTACCGACTCTCTAGAAAGCCATTATACAAGAGGCAGTAAAGGTGACCTGGTGGGTAAACTGAGGATCTGAGTTTGGGTTCCCAACACGCCCATGAAGTTTACATGCATGTATGTAACTCTAATCAGAATATTGATGATTAGAAAGAGGTGACCCTGGGGCCCGCTGTCAGCCAGTCTAGACTGAAGAACAAGTCCCAGGTTCCAGCAGAGAGCCTGTGGAAATGCACCATGACAGCGACACTCTTATAAAGGAAAACATTTATCAGCTCAGAGGGTTAGTCCATTGTCGTCATTGTGAGAAGCATGATGGCTCACAGGCAGACATGGAGCTGGAGAGGCAGCTGAGAGTTCTACATCTGGATCAGCAGGCAGCAGGAGACACTGGCCACACCTCTGTGCCATTTCCTATAAGCCATTGGGGGCCATTTTCATTCAAACCACCATGCCCTGTGTCAAATAATAATAACAAGGATATAATAATTATTATTAATAATAATAAATAATGAAGGAGAAGGTCAAGGGCCATAGAAGAAGACACTGAACTTTGACCTCTGGGCTTCATACATGTACTCAAGGACAAGAGCATTGGCACAGAAATGTGTCTAATTTCATCCATATGAGAAATATTGAGAGGAAGGAGAAAGAGAGGTGAGGCAGGAGAGGGGGTAGGACTATCCTTGGAGAGCCACAGACAACACAGGTGCTATGTGAGAGCAAACTTCCTAATAGTTTCTTGGTGGGTTTGGCTCTCTGAGCACTCCTGAGGTCCCATTCCCAGGAAACCGGAGAGAATCATAATTCAGATACTGCTCTGCTGGGGTAGCCTGTCCCCACACATATTGTATTAACTGCCTATGGGTGTCCCTGTATTCTCCATAATTAATTGTTGTGCCCGGTGCTGTCAGGGTATGTGGTACTGTCATTTCTACGGCCCACAAGGCCTGCTTTCTACATGAAAATGTTTGTTGCTTCCTCACCTGCCCAAAAAGATGCAGAGAGATCAACAACGATTCTCTGAGATTAAATTTAAAAAAAAAAAAAAAAAAAGCAAACTGCCAGGGGTTGGGAGTCTGGAGAGCAATGGGCAGTGGAGGAGGGTTGGGAGTGGTCTGGCCAAAGGGCAACACTAAGAGATAGATGAGAGTAGCCAAGCTGATGACTGGTTCAGAGTGAGTCAACTGTGGAACCACGCCTACCACGCTAATAAGCCCCGGGAAAGGAGAGGCTTCGGGTGAATAAAGAGGAGGAGCTGATGCTGGGGGAGAAGGAGGCCGAGCTAGGGCCCAGACTGGGGCGGGCCACGAGGTGGAGTGGCAGGGGAGTCAGGTCAAGCCTGACTGAGGGGCCGCTCCCAACAAGAAGGCGGACAGCTTTTTACTACACTGATGTCTCTGTGTCTTTATAACTAAACCCCAAAGGGACCTCCCAAAGCCCCAGCAGTACTGCTCTGTTCCTAGGGCGAGTCCTATGAGCATCTTGGATTCTCCGGATGACTGTGCACCTTGGAGTCCTGCTGACGAACCTGTGTGAAGAAAGAAAAGGGTCAGGGCGAGGCGCAGGGAGGAGACTCAGTGACACAGAGGTGTGTGCGGAGCATGTGTTATGATGGGGCGCTGTTCCCTCTCCTTCCATCAGCCATTCGCTGGGACGGCTGAGGTCCTTTACAAGCTCACGCTTCCAGCGCTGTCTGCTCCGCCCTAGACGTGCCTGAATCGTCACGGGCACTGAGCACTGGGCCCACAGGAGGGCAGCACTGAGGAGAGAAGACCACGGGCTCAGACGTCAGAGGGATGGAGGCCTGTAGGTGACCCTGAGAGAGACTAAAGAGCAGCACTCCCCCCAGAGCCCGCTTTCCACTTGTGGGTCTCCGTGTGGTGGAGACGCCACGGAGGTCAGCACAAGGCATGAGGTGTCCGTCACAGACAGGTGCATGAACCATCCGGGACAGCAGGCGCTGTTAGAGATGCGCAGTGATTACAGAACGCGGTCAGATCCTGCCTCTAGCTTGCTGCAACTTTTCTGATTCGGATGATGTGTACCAGGAGAGGAAAATAAAGCACAGTCCGTGGGAAGCAAGAAGGGAAGAAGGAGGACCGGGGTGGAGCATGGAAGAGGGAGAGACTAGGTGCTGTTTCATGGAGTAAGGAGTGGAAAGAGCAAAACAGACCCTCACTGAGCTCTGGACAGAGATGGGGCGGACACGGGTGGCCGAGCCAGGCCACACTACAGCCATCACATGGAGGACTCGAAGGAGACGTGGGATGCACGGACCCACGTGACTAACCTTGTTGGGATCTTCATAGTCCATGTGCTCCGACAGCCTTACTTTCTTCTTTCTAGAGACCATCACGCTAAGTGAGGAAACCAAGGCTTTCAGTATGGCCATTTGTACAACAGCCCCCTCCATTGTGCTATGGCCAGAGCCTGGAGAGAGGGAGAGAGACAGAGAGACACGCCCAGCCACCCCCACCTAGTTGTTGAAATGAGGCACCAGAGCTGAGCAGAGTCTACTCCGGCACCCTGCTTCATGTGCTTCGTGCAGATCCCTTCCCACCCCCTATCCTGCCCCCCACCTCTTCTTTACCCCAAAGGCGGCACTCACCCAAGAAACGTGAGACACAGCCCAAGAAGCAGGACCTTGACAGCGGCCTCCCCGACAGCCACCAGCAGCACCTCGGCCATCTGACCCGATTTCCCTGCAGAAACACATGCACCCGGCTAGGCTCACCTGGAAACCGCCCCGGGGTCCTTCCTCTCTCGGGAGGGCTTGGATATTTGGTTTCTTGACTGACAGTATCAAGAGTCTGAAAACAAAATGCACTGAATAGGAAAACCCCAGCAGACAGAAACGATCTCTCCCAGGAAGAGATCACCTCACAAGGAACTCAGACAAATCAACTTACAAACAGCAACATATCTTAAGATGTGCAAATGAGCAGCGGGTACACAGAAACGCTCCTTCCTTGTCACTTGAGTGCGCATGAAAACTGCGCTGGGACCCTTGTGCACACAGCGACGGGCTGTGTTTTCCTAAGAAGGGAAGCGAGCCCCCTGGTGGGGATGTGGGGTGTGTGCAGTTCCTGTGTGCTGCCAGAGGGGAAGGTAAGTGATCTCTGTGGAAACCTTTGGACACTTAGTCAGAATGAAAGCGGAATTACCGGCTCCCTCCTGCTTTGTGCCCAGGAGAGATGGTCGTTGTTATGCTATGCCCGCAATTCAACTGGCCTTCCTTTCCCTTAGGGACCTTTAGGGTCCTGACACCAGCCCGAGTCAGTACCTGCATCCTGACATCATCTGGGCCAGGCACTTAGTGACTGATCTGCCACTCTGTCTCTCTCTTACTCTTGCTTTCTCGCTCTCTTCCCTCGCTCTCCCCACCATCTCTGTCTCTCTCTTTCTCTCTCTCTGCCCTCATGGCTCTTCAGGCCCTAACTCTCTTTTGCTTCCCTTCCCTCCAACAAACTCTTTCATATAATATCTGTGTGTCCATCAGTTTAAAAATAATAACAGACACACCCTCAAACAGAAACACGTGTTCCCCAAGCCTGGTTCCTAGTAGGCCAGCGCAGAAATGACCCCAGAGTTCATCTTCCAACAGGCAGATGAGCGAGTGTGGTCTGGGTTATAGAGGAGTGCATCTCTGTTTCACGCCGCAGAGATGAGGCCTGAACACGGGACGCTGGTGACCAGCAGTCAGACCACAAAAGGTCACATTTCCATGGCTTCCCTTTCTGGGCAAAGTGCAGATGGGGCAAACGCAGAGAGACCACAGCAGGCCAGTGTTTGCCGGGGAGCACAGGCAGTGACAGGGTTACATGCAGAGTTTCTATCGAGGGGCATGCAAAGGTCCGGAGTCCCATCGGGGTCCCTAACCTACGGCAGCTGTTAGTGATGAGTCTAGATTATCTACCAATGAACTTAATACCGGATGTATCTATATGAAGTAAAATTATAAATGTAAAAACAGTCAGGCGATTCCGAAGTCCCCCTGAGGACAGAACTCCACAGCGTTTCTTAGAGGCTAGAGTGTGCCTTCCTTAGGGCTGATCCCAGGCTCAGTGTAGCCTTCAGTCTCTGGCAGGGCTGGGAAGATGAGTGCCGCTAGGTCTAAACCTCTATCCAAACTGCATTTGTCCAGGTTTTCTGGGAGCTTTGCTCTCGCCCCTCCCCCTCCTTCACTGCGGGACAGGCTCAGTGGATGAGCACCTGTGGCTCTAGGTAGACCCCACCCCACCTCCCTCTCATCCACACCATGGTGGATGCAGCACGGGTAGCAGTGATGGAGCAGGCTGGTTCTTTTAAATCCTCTGCCACTGCCGCTTACAACACACGGCTGGTTGCCCGTCGTCTTGACTTTGGGACGATGAGGTTGGAGCCATAGCTTCACCTACCCTTTGACTAAGAGCAGCCATCTTTGTTGTGGAAGAGTCTTGACTTCGCCACCCTCTTAATGAAAAGCTACAAAATTTGTTTGGTACCTTGCTGACAACCAAATCTAACCTCTGCCTTTTAAGCTTCAGATGTTTGGATAAACTAAGCCATACAAAAAAATACGATGAAATCTTTTAGTGTGTTCGGAAATATATTTAAAATCGTGCTAAGTACTCCTGTTTTATGTTTACTGAAGCAACTGAGGATGGCAGGGGTGGCTCCATTTTGTTTCTCAGACTCTATCTTAAGTTGACTGACCTTGGAGTGACTTGACCCCCACCTTTTCGTTCTGAGTAGGGACACATGGCCCTCCACCCAGGAGGTTGTCATGGATACCACAGAATGTAGATAACTATAATCAGGCCTCCACCCCACAGGTTGTCATAAATACCACAGAATTTATAATAGTGGGTCCTCCATTCCACCCAGCAGGCTATCCTACCGGTTTGGCCAGGGGGCTTGGAACAATTAGCCTAAAGGTCATCTTGAATTCTGAACTCTCCCCCCCCAAAAAAAAAACTCATCTTTCTCTGTAACTCTAAGGCTTGGAATTCCCCACTTGCCATTTTCCCTTTAAAAACTCTGCCTCCCTGAGACTCGGGGCCTCACTTTCCATTTTCTAACCTGCTAAGTCAGGGAAGATTGGCGTCCCGAGCTTAAGCTTAAATAAAGATCGTAGTGTTTTTTGCAGCCGACTCGACTCCTAGTGGTCTTTTGGGGTCCCTTGAATTGAGCACAACATTACAAGTTACAGTTTAGAGTAGATAACCAAAAGCAGACAAAGATTGTTTAACTCAGTTGATGGGTGCTGGCCCTAAAGCGTATTCAGAAACCTGTTGATTTTAAAATATTTAAATGTATTATGACAGAGACTCCCAATTTCTAACAATAACTTCCCGAGGTCTCTGAGAAAATACGGGCACAGCAACAGGCCTCCACCTGGATTAGAGTACAATAAGCACTGGGAAGACTACCCCAATGCCTCATCCACTGCTAGGGCCCAGCCTGAACTGTGGACAAAGAGGACACCCAGGTGGAAGAATGCTTATCATCAAGTTGAGCTGAGGGTGGGATAAGCCAGGACTTCCCATAACTAGCCAAGAGAGCGCAGAGTTAGAAAGACAGGGCCTGTATGTTTCCAGGACCCATGAATAGCAAGGCCATCAAGACAGCCACCAAGGACTCCTTCCTGCTTTATAGGCCTTGTTTGCTGATCCAACACTCACAGGTAACATTGAGCTGGATGGTCCTTTCCACAGTGACGCCTGCTCCAGAGAAGGTCACCAGACAGGTGAGGTTGGCCCCATGGTCCTGGGGCTGAGGTGTGATCGTCAGCACTGGGGAATTTGTGGTTCTGGGACTCAAAGAGATAAAGGCAGCTGACATCCAGGAGAAGGTGGGGGGTGTCCCCTTCTCACAGGCCCAGGGCACAGAGCAGGTAAAGTTGCTAGGATGGCCAGCCTGCAGGATCCCTTGGTTAAGGATGTCAGGAGTCCGTGTTAGAGCTGAGGAAGAGGGAGAAAGACAGAGAGAGACATAAGCCATGGTAGAGACACTCAGATACACCCCTGGACAGCAGGCTCTGCCTCAGCACAGCCACCTTCCCTCACACAGCCCAGCATCTGTTACACACACACACACACACACACACACACACACACACACACACACACAC